TGCCCAAAATGTAGGACATTCAAGAAAAATGGAAGCTGTGACTCCCCCAAAAAGCTCAAAACACTCATAGAAACACACATTCATGCTTCTTAGCCATGTCCAAAATGGAGGGCATTCAAGAAAAATGGAGGACGTGACCAAATAAAGGCTTAAAGACACTAATAGAAATATAAACCCATGCTTCTTAGTCATGCTCAAATGAAGGACACTGTGGAATTCCTCCTGGACAGAAGGCTGAAATGGAGGACATTTGGCCACTCTTGTTTTCCAGTGGTTCCCAAACGTTGGTCCAATAAGCGCTTGGGACTTCAGTTCCCAGAAGCCCCAGGCGGCGAGTCAGGAATTCTGACAGCTAGGTCCCAAACACACCGCTGATACAATCCAGTCTGTGCTAGGGAATCCTGGGAACTGTAATTCTGTGAGACATTTAGGGCCTATACAGACTGCCAGAAATAATCCAGCTTGAGACCACTTTTAACTGTCCTGGCTCTGTGCTAGGGAATCATGGGAACTGTAGTTTTTTTTCTGAGACATTGAGTCTTCTTTGCCAGAGAGCTCTGGTGCCACAATAAACTACAGTTCCCATAGTTCCTTAGCACTGAGCCACGACGGTTAAAGTGGCCTCGAGCTGGATTATTTCTGGCAGTCTGTATAGGCCCCTAGAGTCCAAAACACCTGGAGGACCAAGGTTTGGGAACCATCGCAGCCGGCCCCCCGCCGCCTCCCTTTCCTTGTGGCTGCTCCGCCCCAGGCCCCAGGCCCCAGGCCCTTTGGTCTCCCACCGCCGCCGTCGGGGCCTCTGCTCTCTCGGGCTCCGCTGCCTGAGCCATGAGGGAAGGAGGAGGAGAAAGACGAGGCCTCTCCCGCGGGGGACCTGGAGGCAATGGCGACCTACGCTTCCAGGAGAGGAAGGAAGGGCTATGTTTCTCTATGAGGGAAAGGCCCAGCTGCCAGGAGGGAATGAAGGAGGGAGGCTGTGGTGGGGGAGGCCTCCTTCCAGCCCAGGGGTGGGCAACCTTTCCCCTTTAAGGGCCAAAGGACTTCAGCT